AAGTTTTAGAATTTATCGTATCGTTTAATTTGAAACTTCCTGATCAATTTATCTTATTCCCATGTTTTTGTATGAATTGATATTTCATATTAATTTAATTATTATGTGTTTATAAAAATAATTAATATCATTTTTCCAATTTGCATAATATTGCTTAATATTAATGATTGATGATTATAAATGATTTTTCATTTGATTTTATAAATATTTTTACATATTATATAATATTAAACACAGATGAAAAAAATAAAATTAAATTTTTTATTTAATTTTAATTATTTTAAAATTTATGAAATTATTTTTTAATATTATTAAATTATTATTAATATTATTAAAATATTCTATATTTTGGAAATATTCAAATTTTATTAAGTTCTTTAAACTAAACTTTTATATCTTATTGTTTTATTATTAAATTTGCATGCATATGTACATAATTATACTATTTATAAAGATAGGACAAACACCTTAGTTTCTATATAATGTTTATTCTATATTATGCATTTGATCATATTAATATTATATTTTAATAACGCTGTGTAGGTTTTATATATTATCAGTTATATCGTTATTACTCATTATTTATTATAGATTTTTCAGTGAATGTAGCAATCGATAAAAATAGATTTATAGTACTTTTTCTCAAAATGCTAAATATTCAGTTTATAATACATTATAATACAATTGCAATCATTTTTCTTATCAATTGAAATTTCTCAAATTAAATTCTTCACAAAACATTTGTTATCATACAGTAAAAATTCTAAACAAATTCTAAAACAAATTGTCGAACCAAAAAAGAGATCGTCAAATACAAATTATTTTCACTTGAATAGTTTTGTTTGTGTTCAATTTTTTTCAACGATATGAAGTATCACTTGGAAAGATAACTGATTTAATTATCTATATATATCTTCATGCATTATAAATTAATAATTCAATAATAATAATTAATCAATATTATAAATGGAATTGACTATTTTGTAACAACATTTTCTTATTAAAATAATTATTTTAATCATTTTTAATCATTATATTTTAATCATCAGTTATATAGCTAGCCATTTATAAATTAAATTTGATTGTATACTAAAAAAAAGCAGGAAAAAGAATAAAGATGTTTATCCTTTTTTAATTTCTACATGGAACTTATTATATCATATTATTAATTATCAAGAAGTATGATACAATTATCATTGATTAGAAATCAAATTGAAAGTTGAAGTGATAGAAGATTTTAAAAATATCAGAGGTCTATAGAAGATATGCAACTAAAATTAAACAGCGCTGGCTAAGGCTGTCCTAGACCCTTTTATCCGACATTTTCTAGCACCGACCTAGCGCAACGTGTTGCGTATGCATTGTTTTCCCAAAGACAAACGCCAAAGCTTAGAGAGCAAGGTCCATCTAATCCTTTGGTAAGGAGAAGCAAAATGACATATTTAATGGTCCCGGTTACGCAATATCATGCAACTGTGCATCGCTATCGAAGCTGCCAGTAATGTCTCGGTATATTTATATAGTATGTGAAGATAAATCGATGGATTAGAAATAGCCAGTGTATGGTATATTCATTTGAATATAAACTATATATATATATATATATATATATACATGTATATTATATACACTTATGCATATCTATAACATATCGATAAAGATTCCTACGAAATTCTTTCTTTTTAGAAGATTAGATGATACATTTATTATTTTAACATGGTGAATAAGAAAGTAGATTGAAATATATGTGATATATTAGAGAACATTTCAATCACAAAAATTGCAGATTTGTTTATATACTCGACATCTCGAGAGACAAAGGAAATATCCAGAATGGTACTTCAAATGAGCAAGAATGGCCGAGATTGTTCTTCTGTCAGTGACCAATACAAAGAACAATTTCTCTCGAGATCCTTTTTTCTCGATACGTCGCTCACAGTGCCCGAATATGTAAAACTGACATCACACCTCAGAGAGTGCAAAAGAACGCCCACCATTTTTCTCTCCCTCTCTTGAATTTTTGTCTCATCTACGTCTCATTATATTTTCCATAAAATCGATTATTTTTTCATATTCCTAATCAATTTTTTTTAAACATTTAATATTCGTATTTCATTCGTTCTATACATACTAGAGATTATGATCAATGATTTTTATTCAAGAAGTTATGATCTTTTGTGACTAATCTTTCAAATAACATATTGTCACTCACGTCATGCTACATTTTTCTTTCTAAAGTCTAAAGATATAATACATTAAAATTGATATTTACAAACAATATTTTTAAAGAAATTTTTGAATTTAACTTATTAAAATGGTGGGATATACTTCTCAATGACCTTGAGAGTTTATTTGATTATAGTTTTCGATTTCTATTGATAATAGGATAAATTGTTGATCATCAAAATTAGAATTTTCAATTACAAAATCATATTACAAAAACATCAAAAATATTTAGCTAATAATAAATATTTATAAATAATAGATATTTTTTACTTGATGTTTAATCGTATAAGAGAAGAATTTTTTTGTGTATTCTTTTTTTTTTTTTCTCCTTAAGAAATATATCATTTCGTTTCCTTACAAGATTGTAAAAACGAAGAGCAATCTGACAAACGGAAGTATCACGCTCGCGATACGTGTGCACTCGCGCATAATTACCACACGCGTTTTTTGCGGGGGCACATTTTCAGGTAAATATTGCGCATCCATTTATATATCTCACAGTGTATAATTTTTTTCTCTCTCTCTAGAAAATGGAAAATATTATATCACTATGATCTTTTTTCTTTTCATCATATCTCATGTATTTTTCATATTTATCGATATATACAGTAGAAGAAAATAAAAAGGAATTTAAAAATTTTAATTTCTTCATGAAAATTCTTTTTAAAAAAGGATAAAAAATAATAATTGAAGAAATAATATTTTTCACCATATTATATTTATGGTAAAAAATGAAAAATATATTACAAGAAAAGATATTAAAAATTCTAAAAATCTTCGTGTATATATATGGAAATCATGTTACATGAAAATTTGAAGAAGGTGTGAAAATTGATATTCGAAATGGGATAGTGATTTGCGCTCAACATAAGAATAACGAGATCGCCTTGTAGGCGATCTTTCCATTCTTGGAGTAGTGCCCGAATGATTTCTCGACTTCGGCGATTATGTTTGGACGAATGTCAAGACCAAAACTGGTACGTGGCGTTTATTAACAACCAATGCATTATCTAGACAATTAATTTTTTATTGCAAATCCATTCTAATTGTTCCAATCCAAGTTATTTTCAGATTATCACGAAATATTTGCTAATTATCAATTTGAAGAAAATGATCCAGATAATCGAATTTTTCATATATCATCGAGATGTTAAAAGGAATCAGATGTTCTTCAAATCTATTTTAATCAAGATCGAGCTTCATCTAAGGATTGTATAATTCTTAAGAAGAATTTTTCTTGCGTTAATTAATAAGACAAACAGCCTTCCTTGGTCACGTTACGAACACAATAGGCATCCAAAACATTCGGAATTGCATGTTACGTAAACCGTTCAAGTCCAGTTCGAGTCCACCAAGGCGTCGTTGAATTTTAAATATCGAAGACTCGTTTCCAACCACGTTCCTAAATCACTAAAGCACCTCTTGGCTGATCTACTTTTCTCACTGTATGATCACATTGAAAAAATACAAATACAAAGATACGAATGTCCAATAAAAATTCCATTGGTATCATCAGTTTCCTTGAAAGAAATTACTGGTTTGGAATTGTTGACTCGTTTTAGAAAGTTTTTCTATTATGTTACATAGTAAAGAAAATCTTTAAAGAAAAAGTCATCAAAGAAGTCAAATTGTCTTTCAACAATCATCCGGGATCGAAAAATATTTTAAAGAAAAGATGGATTGAATTAAGTTTTCAGTTCATTATATGCTTAATAAGATAGAAAATGGAATTATCGTGTAAGGACAATGCATCAAGTGGAAAGGTATTCTCCTCTCGACGAGTTGGAATAACGCCCACGACGACCCACGTCACGATGACTGTTCGCATGATTTTACCTGAGACACGGGTTCTGTGTAGGCAGGCCAAAATCACCACCGAAACTTGGTGTGACTCATGGATTTTGCGATTCTTCAGAGCAGATTTATTATAAGCTACAGAATGTTTTCTAATTCATGGATTGGATTTATTTCTTATCAGCTGAATTTTATGAATATTATTATAATTAAAGCCACTATTTTTGCTTCATTGATAAAAGAGATAACACTCGTGATGACGTTGAAATATATTGAAGAAATTTGTCTAATTTTTAGATAAAACGTAGAAGATTTATGTGAACGGAGGTAGGAAGCAAAACCTATGTAGCAAAAGCCTCGGACCAACGTCCTCGACCTGATCGCGGAGGTGGCTTCCACAATCGTGTATGGACATAAAACGTAGTCCACCTGGCGCGCAGAAAGAATTCTTGTTCACCTACTAACACACTCCAACGATTTCACACGAGAACTTCAATTAATATCACGAGACACGACCGAGAATTGATTAAAGTCGACCATTTTAAATCATGGCACATTGATTTCAACGAATTAATTTTTTAAAGCAAAACACCTTTGACAAACAGCCTTTGTATTCCATTGAATTGATCTTTCAGTCACATAAAATGATTCACTTTCAAATTTGGTTTTTTCAAAAAAAAAAAAAAAAAAAAAAAAAGAAAAATGAAAATTAATAAAATCAAATATCTCCATCCAAAGATACTTCATTTTGGATGTCAAGACCAATAAAGTGTTTTGGTACATATGATTCAATACATTCAATCTATAGTTCTGTTGGCTGATCGAAGTAATGGAACGAGCAGAATGCAAGCAGGCTGGTTTTTCTTGCCCACCAGGTGGAGGGAGGGACGCGAAGAAGCCGTGAAGTGGGATATCGTAATGACCTCCACCTCCGTATTTCCAACTATTTTCGATACACGTCTCAGCTAACTTTAGCGTTTTCGTTAGTCCAGTCTTTGACTTTGAGCTCTCAGCTCTCCACTAAACATTCTCTTATACGCCCCATGCTTCCTGTGTAAACTCCTGTGGAATCATATAATTACTTCCGCCATTGTCCCAACAAAAACTACTTAAAATTCAAAATCTATTTACTACTTTGGAATAATCAATCCACGTGAAACAAGTCTCAACGTGATCAATAACGATGAAAAATGTGTCATGTAGAGAAAAAATCGTTTGTGTAAGTTTAAAATTTTAAAAGTAAATTAATTTAATTCTATGCAACAAGACACTTATAAATATGTCTGCCCAATTTTTGTTTTTTTTCAAATATAATGATTATTTTCTTGAGACAAACGAGACAATATAACTAAGTAGATAGACGATTTTCTTTTCCACGACACAGGAGAAGCCATTTATATAATGCTTGCCGACTATTTCGAAGATGACACTTAAAATTAACTTAGTGGAATATATTTGTGCGTTCACTGGAATATATACATAATATATGGGAACTATTTTAGAAAGTTATTGTCTTTTTTTGTCGGTCTTCAGTTGTCATTCAATGAAATACATTCCAACGATTCTTGGATTGTCTATAATTCTATTTTGTTTCATAATCTCATAAATTTTCTTTTTATTCTATTTATTTTGATTCTTGAAAAATTGATGAAACAAAAAAACGTGAATTTCCAGTTTTGCAGTTTTCTTGAATGTTAATTTAAGTGTGAATTAATTCAAGTATTCTTTTTATTGTACAAAAGATGATTACACGTTTTTCAGATGCCTTAATAAGCAACAGGTGGCCGGAAGTTTCTTTGAAGAGAGAATTTCACTGAAAATCACTTTTAATATTTAACTTTTTTGATCATTTTTGCTTTTAAATTACCAATTATAATTCAATTATCTTGAAACAACTAATTATACTTGAAATCATTTTGCTATTGATTGCTTTTCATATGTTCTTATCAAATTTATATTTAATATTGTTAATATTGTAAAATGATTCTGAAAAGAAAATAGATCTTTGTTTAAGAAAACAAAGGAAGTTAAAAAGCAACATAATCAGATCCATCATTCATCAGAAAAATCGTTGACACATATTCATTTATCTTTCACATTAATATTAAATGTAATATTAAATGTTCATGCCATGTTCAAAGAAATTAAACTTATCAAAATAAAACAACAAATGGTTGTATTTTTCCTTGATGATTCGTTCATATTTCATTGCGTGCTTGCCAATTGATTTGTTAATTACTATAACTATTTCTTTTCTTTGTTTCACAGGTGGTTACCTAAGCCCTAACATCCGAGCGTGAATATTGTGAACGATGGTTGACTATTACAAGGTACTAGAAGTGCAGCGAACCGCCACGAGCGGAGATATCAAAAAGGCGTAAGTAATAGTGAAAATGATGTCAAAAAAGTCCAGTTCCTTCAACAGAGAAAGTTTTTAAATTTAAATATTTACTTGAAATTTTCTTTCATTAATCTAATTTTCTTATTAATTAGTTGAATAACTTTGTGTAAAATTCATCGTTGCAAATCATGATTAATGTTTGCTTTTTAAGAAAATTTTATATTGAAAATAAGTTAGAATATTGATGCTATTTTATTTTATAAATTGTAAACGCAATATGTAGAGAAAGATTGAATGAATGTCTTTTTACTTCTGTTGAAACAACTGGCATTGATCCAAGAACCGTGTTCTTAGTTCTTCTTAGTTCAAAAAGTCAAGAAACTTTTCAAGATTTTTTTATAATAGAAGCATCCCTGAAACATTAATTAAATAAAAAAAATTACTTTGCAGATATAGAAAATTGGCGTTGAGATGGCATCCGGATAAAAATCCTGAAAATTTGGAGGAAGCAAACAAGAGATTTAAAGAAATATCTGAGGCATATGAAGTGCTAAGCGATGGTAAGCTTCAGTTCTTCCTCGATCATTTACTTTCGACTCTGAAGCTTATATAGTTACAAAATTATCAACAATATCAATTTAATCGTTAAAATTTTCAATCTGAAGAATTTTCTAAATAATAATAATTCTAATTACATTTTTGTCTCTCTGTGGCTTCGATTAATTGACGCTAGCTAGCTTTAATAATGAAAACAGCGTCGCGATGCCAACGGGAGACGAATGATAGTAGCCATTGCTTGTCAGCAAAGCCGAATTTCGCATGAGCCTTCTCTTTCGAGCGGTTTCCAAGTAGTACAACTTATTCTGGGAGTCAACAGTTCAATCTAGAACGTATCGATTCTCCTTTATGAATAGTTGTTTCATAACCAGCAAATAAACGAAACTGATTAATGAGAATTAATCGTTGTCCAATAATAATTGAATTTTGATAGTTTACGGAAGGAAATTTTGACAATTATATACTTATATAATAATATTTTTATACACAATACAATTTTTTAGAAAAAAAATAGGGCTGCGAATAAGCACTCACAGCTCCAAAATTCTGATTCTTGAGTTTCTAAAAGTTCTATTTTGTTTTTATGCTTTTATATTTATTATGTTATATTTATATTTTTTTATTACATTTAGTAAAAAGATTGATGGAAATATTATTGAAACTCGAGAATTGAGCCAGGCTTAAACAGAGAGCAACTCTTTAGCCGAAGCATCGCTGCTACAATCGATGAACCGTGTCGTGTCAAATGTGGAAGGAAATAAAAAAAAATTCAATTAGAAATGTTTGTTTCCGGATGATCTCTCATGACCGTGCTCGATGTCCAGATGCGAAGAGACGAACCTACGACCAACGATTGTATCAGAAGGCATCTTCAAGGCCCGGCCGTGGATTCACCTACCGGAGTTTCTTTGACTCTCCTTTCCAGCGATATTTCGGTACCACTTAAGAGAAAAAAGACTTTGAGAGTGACAGATATTTTCCTTCGTTTTATTTTATTTATTGTTTTTCTTTTTTTTTTTTTTTTCTTAATAATTTATTTCGAATTTGGTTTTGATTTTTTTTTCTTTTTTAATCTAAGAAAAAATGTACAGAAAGAAATATTACTATTTTGAGATGTAGATGCAAAGATTTTATTGATGAAAAATTCATAAAATCTCAAATGCCTAATCCCTTATTTGCCTTAAAAAAATAATTCCTTGCTCGAATTCGTAGAATTCATCTTTCTGATGAAGTTTTCTGATCAGTTTCTTTACGAATCCTTGTGGAAAACTCAAAAGATACTTTTTTCTCTTTGTATGAGTCGCCGTAAACGCAGATAATATTGCCTGCATTTCTAACCATTTTGCCATTGCTCGACTGATTGAAAACACGAAAAAACCAACTTGCAATCAATAATTTTCCCTTATAAAGGCAGATCTTCGAAGAACCATATTATTCCATTTCATTCAAATCAATTAAAAATAAATTTTCATATGAAGATTAAAAACTTTTTTCAAATTATTTCAAATTCTTCGAAGATTATCTATATTCCTTTCATTTATCATGATCATTCTCTTCCATTGATTTTGCTCTTGTGGTGGACGACCTCAAATTGATGTTAGACATCATTCAACGTACTCTACTAACCTGGCAAGCCTTTGCAGTACTTGCTTCTTGGAATTTGGAGCAAATAAAACCAAGCGATCTGCATTTATATATTATTTCATAATTAGTAATAACAACTTTTTGTCTTATTTGCTTTTCAGAAAAGAAAAGGAGGGTTTATGATCAATATGGAAAAGAAGGACTTCAAATGCCTGGTGGCAAGAGGCGACATAAGGAAGATTTTGATCCACACTTTGCTGGTACCTTCATGTTTAGGGATCCTGAAGAAGTATTTAGAGAATTCTTTGGCGGATCATCTTTTGAAGATTTATTTTCTGGTAAGTTATTTATATTGCTAGTTAATCTATGTCATACCAATTAGTTTATATCCTAAGCGTGTGAAATGTAATCTGAGCACATAAATGAATTTCCATAAGAAATTTACCTTGTCCATTGAATGATAAACATATATTTAAGTAATTAACCGAATAATAAAAAAAAGTTATTGAAAAAAATTTTTCCTATGGTAAAATCACGTGATTAACGATATCCTAATTTTCCTAAAGACCTTGCTGGAGTTGGTGTGCGTCTTGGATCTCAAAGGCATAGTCATCCCAGCAGTAACAGCATAAGCACGTCCTTCTTTGGTCCATTAGGAGTTTCTCATTTCGGTTTTTCACCACTCAACGAATTTTTTGAAGGTACATCAGGAAACTTTACTTCGTTCAATGCATTCACAAGTTTCGGTGGAACTAGTGGTGGTGGAGCTGTAAAACGAACAAGTACTTCAACTCGCTTCATCAATGGCAAAAAGATCACTACCAAAAAGTAAGATTGATCGTTAGAATTTAAAAAATATTATTATAAAAATTAAATATATTATATGATTTTATAAAATATTACAAAAAATTGTAATAGAATGTAATTATATTACTTGAAATAGAGACAATAATGTTTTATGTATACAATTGTTACAGAGTTTATGAAAATGGAAAGGAAACAATAATGTCATACGAGAATGATGTGCTGAAGTCAAAGACGGTGAACGGCGTGCCACAATCAATAACGTACAGTTAAATCAGTTCTCTTCTCAAGAACGCTCGCTCGATCTCCGCTCGGCAATTGAGAAATTCCTGTCGTCGCGTCACGTTTGCGAGTAATATTTCTGCGCTCTACTAAGATGTTGTGTTCCTGCTACCTAACTACCTGAATGATAATGAACATAAAAATAGAAAGAAAAAAGAACATAATTGATTTTTTCGACAAGTCACCGCGGCTATTTAATAACAATATAAAATGTTCTTCTATCTTATTTAGATCATCTCTTCATCAACTGACTTCTTCATTTTTCGTCAAAATATTTTGTTAAAGTGCTGTTTAAATGATGTAGTAGTGCCGCTGGTCGACGCACTTTTCCACATATTGTATAACAAGAGAACAACAAAATATATGTACAAATATATGTACAAATATTTATCATTTAAAAAAAAAAAAACAGAGCAACGAGATTTTCAGAAACAACGATTACTCGACGGAATTCGATGACAGTGATTGGATCTCTAAGCTCGAGCGATCGAGCCCGTTTAAAACATAATGAAAGCAGAAAAATTGCTTAATTTGGATAAACATAATAACATTTTAAGCAAAACAGCCGCAACGAAATGCTACTTGAGCTTTTGTTCCCGTCACCTTCTCTGTTTTACCAGGTTTGACGAGTCATCGACAAGTCGCCAGCTGACCGACAGTGCCAGCGATATCTCGATGGCTGGCCAGAACTCGAGAACAGTCCATGGTGACCATCAGAAGGCTAGCAGAATAAAGACGCACCATCATCCAGTTCTCACTAAGAAGCACGATAAGAGTAAGAGAAAATAGAGGCAACACTCTTACAACCTTCTCTCATTCGTTTCCTTATTTTTTTAATTTTGGTCTCTTTGTTTTTTTTTTCGAATCAAACGTAACATATATACATATATTACATACGTACGTGTATCATTTACGAAACTGATGTTGTAAATTATGTCTTTTTCCGCAACATCGTTTTTGCTATTGTTTCAATAATCGGAATTAAAAAAAAAAAAAAAAAGAAAAACTTTTAGTGGCTTAGCTTCGACTAGCTACACATGTTCGATTTGATCAATAAAAAATTCGCTGCAAAATTCATTGTAAGATTTTGCATCGAAAGTGGTGTGTTTAATTAATTCTTGTTTGCTATTGAGAGAGAGAAAGAAAGAAAGAGAGAGAAAGAGAGAGAGAGAGAGTGTGTGTGTGTGAAAGAAAGAAAAGAGGCCCTGCTTTCTGTGAAAAAAAAACAGATAAAAGTTATTATTACAGAACATTCTGTTGCGTTTTATAGATAGCGCGTCGTTTCCGTTCAAAATCTGGCGTTTTACTTTTAATACGGTAAGTTTCGCTTATTCTAGATTTCTTAGAGGATTAATTCATTATATCGTAAGTTATAATTGCTAGTTTTTTATTTGTAAGTAAGTCGCGTTGTAATTTCGAACACATATATACACATCGACTGAGTTTGAACGAATTTAACGTATTATACATACATATATTTCATTTTTATGCGAATAGGACACACACATACACATATGAATGAATTCCATCATGCGTATTCGTTTTAAACATCAAGATCGATTTGCTAACAAGTGCTCTTAAAAGATAAAATTGTATTACGACAGTTTTTGCTACATTAGATTTTTTCCTTTTTTTATTTTTGAAATGCAGTAAAGCATTCACTATGGAAGAAATGTGCTCCATTTTCTTTGTAATTGGATCTATAAACAAAATTGAGGCATAAACAGGGCTAAGTTTTTGTGTTGCGGAAATGTTCCTTCATAAGCAATTTAAATGTCGTAATCCTATTTGCTTTTCTTAGTTAGTTTCTTGTGTATGTGTATATAATAATAAGCAAAAAAATGTTAAACGTGGAGAAAAAAAAACATCATTAATGTATGTTAATATATTTCATTACACTTTATCGATATTCAACATTATATTTTGTCTGATGATTTTTTTATGTTTAGAATAACAATTATATGGAAGTTCAACGTTTAATTTAAAATGTTATATTGTATCAAAATAATTGTCACTTTATTTCTTCTTCTTTCCTCAACTTCTGAATTTACAATATTCATATAACAAAATTTAGAATATAATTTATATAAAAATAGTAGGTGAACAATGTAAAAGTTTAAATGAAAAGAAAATTACATTTCTTTTTTAATATTTTCATCATTATACGCTTCGATGTGGTATTAAAAATCGTGTATATGTATTAAGTACATTATAATGCATATACTGTATATGTTAACTTGTTCCAAGTTAACAACATCGACGTTGTATATAGCTAATCAGTGATAGCAAAATAAATTCAGCTACCACGAGAAAATTAATTCGTCAATTCGATATATCAATTCCTTTTTAATATTATTGTATTTATAATAATTCTTGTTTATACAATATATAGATCTTTAAATTATTTATATAACATCAAAACAATTATTTCAAAAAGTATTTAAACATTTTTGCAACTATTATACCCTGGTAATAATAATAAAATATAATAAATTGCACATTTATAAGAATATAAAAAAGATAAAATTAGATAAAAATTTCTATATAAATTTTCAATATTGCAAATTACTTCTTTCCAATGATGGATATCAGTTCTTCCACCTTATGAATGTACTGCTCTTTAGCAGCATCTTGACTCATGCCCTTCCTCTTATCCCAAGCATCCCATTTTGCTTTGCCTTTGAAATCCAGCATGCCTGGTTTAGCTATAAAATTACAATATTCTTTTAAAAAAAAATAATATTATATAATTATAGAATTATGAAAATTTTAAAATCATAAAAATAACTCATTCAAATTTTAATTCAAGTTTTTACATATAATTATTACTAGAAGTGGATAATTAGCATTGCAAATTAAGAAAGACCAAAGTAAAAATTAAATTTAAAATAAACTTGAATATTATAATGAATGTAAATTGAATTCTTTGGTATTAAAAAAGTCCAAAGTCTAGCCAGTCTACCTTCCTTTAGGATTTTTTACAATATTTTAGATATTTATAGAAATATAATATTTTCTATACCATATAATATAGTAAATAACAAAACTAAAATAAAACTAAAATAGAAAATCATTTTTTAAGTAGATTATTATATTGTTTTACGTACATGTATTGCAATCTCCAATAGTAGCTTGCTTGTACAGTGAATATAATTCAAGCAAATCAGCATCTGACGCTGGAGCACTTAATTCCTTCACCTCCTCTGCAGCTTTCTTAAATTTCTGATAAAAAAAAAACATATAAACAAAAAAATAACTTTCATTAAAATAATATATACAATACAAGAAACATTATACAATATATAATTCAAGAAACATTAAAATAAAATTAAGTAATTAGAAATATAATAAAAATAAAAATAATTACTTCGTCTAGAGTCATTGTTTCAATAACAAAAAATATTGAAACTTTGATACTTTAAGTTAAGTAACCTCTATGTAAGTACTGTGAAGCACTGGTTCAGAACTGCAGAACATTGGCTGGGAAGATTCGTTTAAGTTTCCCCCACTTCAATATTCCATTTGGTATAATCATGAGTCATAATTTATGATTACCAATAATGTTCGAGAAATCTTCATTAATAAAAAATATATATACACATATATACGTATATATTATCTATACGTGTAGATTATATATATATATATATATATATATATACTATAAAAATTTATTATAATGTGTATATTATAACAAATTATTATAGTAAAATATTGATAATATTATTATTAAAATTATTGATATTATTAATATTAAAATTATGAAAATCTGATCGATAAATTGTTATTGCGCAATTTATCTTTATAAGAAAAAATCTAAAAATCCATTTTTAATGTCATTCTACTTAAATTAAAAATTGTAATCTAAATATAATTTGTAAATTTTTATTTATTTTACCTAGTATTAAACTTATATACGAAGTATTTTTTCTATTTTATATTAACTTTAAAAATACATACATACAATTTTAAAAATTAAAAATGGCATTGAAAATAATATTAGAAATATTACAAATACTATATAATACTTTTTTATAAAAATAAATTTTTTAATAAACTAATTTAAATTTTTATAATATATATAATTTCGGAAAATAAAATGTTTAAATAGAATTAAATTGTTAATAATATGTTTTTAACGTTTCTTATTTTCGATAATGGCTAAAAAAAATGCTTATAAATCGCTATAAATATTTTATAAGTACACCACCAGTATAAATGAATAAATACAATGAATTAAAATCAATGAGATTAATAAATTAATGCATATTTTCTGTAAATATCAATACATTTCAAATTATATACATGTATAATATTCAATGAATCATTATTGGATATAAAAAAAAGATATCATTTATTGATATTATTTATGATAAATTTTTATTTATGATAAATTTGATAATATTAATTATTAGTTAGTAAAATATTAATATCAAAATTAAATGTTATTACGTAAAACATCTGTTTATCATACTTATATATCGGTGCTTACCATGCGATTATATTTTATACTGATTAATTATTACCATAAAAATATGCTATATTGTTGCATAAAATGTATCAATGCTTATCATGCAATTTTATATTATTGATTATTATCATGAAAATGTATTATATTTATAATTTTTTGCTATTTATTTGACGAAATTCGTCTTCTTTTTTTTTCTATTTAATTTAAAAAGTTTGAAATTTAAGTAAAAATAATTTTTTTTTATATATAAATTTTAAGATTGTAAATCGACTCTGATTCCCCTAGATATTGATCACGTGGTTTTGTGTACATCCGGTAATACGACTAATTGAATATATTATAGTTATTTATATTTTTTAACAATTTCATTTAGATATTATTAAATTAAATAAAACAAAATTTATATTATAATAATTAAACATTATTAATTCTTATATCTTAAAAAAAATTGTTTAAATATATATATAAAATATTATGTGGTTTACATGTAATAATATTTAGAGAGATTTTTTTATTTTCTAATAATATGACTAGATGGCGACACTTGATCACTTCCACGTAAAAAATGGCGGACTGCAAGGGTGCGTTTTGTGATTCTCTTGTACAGTAAACTATTCATAAATTCTATGTATTTATGTAAATTGTAATAACTGAAAATTTATACAAATTATTGTTCTATTATAATTGTATTTTTCTTTAAATTCCATATTTTTTCAATTTCAATAATATTTATTCGTGTAATCATTTCAACAGATTGACGACATAATTTTGTTTGACAATCATTTTAACTGTTTGTTTTGTATTTTATCCAGAGAACAAAGAAGAGACAAATAGACCATCGTACGTTTTAAAAGTAGATCCACCGCAAGAATCACCAGGAGATTCACCTGAAAATTCCACCAGTGGTAAATAGTGCTATTTTTTGTTTCAAATAATTTTTCTATCATTTTTTCTTTTATAATATTTACTATTTCTATTATATATATATATATATATATTCCATATATTTTCTTCGTTTTTCAAAAATGCAATTAAAATTATTTTATTTTATTCCAATAATCTTGTATTGTAGAAGACATAGGTTATGATGTAAAAACATTAAACACTATTCACATACAATAGTTTATAGATGGCAATTTAGAAAATTTAAATTGTTTCAGAAGAAATGGAGAGTCCATCAACAGAAAATAATACTCAGGAATCACCATCTAGTTCTAATAAACCTGTGTTAGCTGCCTCAAAATTTGGAACATCATTTGGAAGTAGTGATTCCTATAAATCCTTAGTTAAAAAAAAAAGATCTTTCACATTGTGGCCTTCTCAATTGAGCACAGTGACAAACAATCAACCTACTACTAAAGTATATTTACAACCAGCTAAATTTCAGAATCCATTTGCAAAAATTACAGATAATTTTTTAGATGAAAAGAATAACATAGCAAAAGAAAATAATAAAACAGAAACAAAGGAAGAAAAAAATGAAGAAAAAGAAGACACAAATGAGAAAGCAAATGATAAAAATGAAACAGAAGAAACTAAGAGTGAATTAAAAGAAATTCAAAATGAAGTAAAAGAAACAAGTGAAAAAAAAATAGTTGAGGAAACAAAACCTACTTTTTTGATGTTAGGAACAAGCACAAAGGATAATGTAAATACTACAGTAACGCCTTGTGCCTCAGAACCAAACTTTGTGTTTGGTCAGAATCTCCAAGAACGTGTTATGATTGCAAATGACGCAGAAAATTCTGAAAAAACAGAAACTGAAGAAAAAAAAGAAGAGAAAAAAGAAGAAAGTACAAATGAAAATGGTTCTACAGAGCTTCTTTTTTCAAACGCATCCGCAGCGTGTCGTACTACCTCCAAACCAGGTTTAACATTAACAGAAGCAGCTCAAGAATTAGAAGAAGCAAATCGTGCTAACAAAAGAAAATATAGCCAAATAACACCATTAACTGGTGAAGAAGGAGAGACAAATATTCTACAAATTAATTGTAAATTTTTTGCATTTGACAAGGTATGTATAACAAATATTTATATTTAATTTAAATTTTTTAACAAAATTATTGAATGCTTTTGTACTTAATATTAAGTATTCGATTCTGTTCAGGCAAGTGGTGGTTGGCAAGAAAGGGGTAGAGGTACTTTGCGATTAAACGATCGCGATGAAGAATCTCGTTTAGTAGGACGTACTGCAGGAACGCAGAGATTAATTATGAACACAAAAATATGGCCAGGAATGACCGCAGAACGTGCAGCACCTAAATCATTAAGATTAACAGCAATGGATGTTCAAGGCAGTATCAGAATCTTTATTGTACAGGCTGCGCCTAAGGAAGTAGAACAACTTCATAATTTATTACAACAGCGGTTAAAACGCGCACAGGAACGACAGCCTAAGAAACTAGCAACAGAGCACTGACAACTGATTAGTCGTCCCTGCGAGCTGTTCGCTAATTATTATCTAAATTTACGCAATACGGAGATTGCTAACATGTGAAAAAATCCGGGAATCTATAATATCGGAGCTCATCCGAGAATCTATATCAGGTCCTATTTGTTTCTAGAATAACTCGTATAAAATAGAACTATGGCTATGATTCGCTTCTTTGCCTGTGAAAGTTCTTAGAACTTGATAATATATCCCATGCCATATTGAAATCTACAGGCAAATGAAACAAAGAAGACGAAAAAAATGAAATCGAATTCTTTCCGGTATATATTTTCTAATCATTCCCAATTCATAATTCTTCTTTTACACGGATTTCAAACAGCGCTTTTTTTTTTTTTTTTTTTTTTTTTTTTTTTTNNNTTTTTTTTTTTTTTTTTTTTTTTTTTTAATCAAAGAAAACTATTAGTTAGGGATTTTTAATAAAGCATAATATAAACACACAAACAGATCAGTCATAAAACCGTTATTATCTTGGAAGATAAACGGTGTTTTCAGTTTTCAGTGATAATCTCTTTATAAGAATCACTTCGATTTTTATCGTAGCGATATTCTTATCAATTTAGAATTCTATTCCTTGTCCGCTATATATAAATATATACATAAATATAAATATATAAATATTGTAAGAATTTTACTGTTAATTTCGTTATTTATACGTAATTCCGCCGCGAGCGAAAGTAACAGCTACATACATATTAATCGACGAGGAGATATTGTGAATTTGATTGGAACAACAAAAGACTTTGTTGAGAGCACAAAATGTAAAACGTTGTTCCATGATCAAATCTATAGCTATTTGTACTTTATTTTAGTTGTATATAGCATCAAGATGAATTGGACGATTTCCTCGTCGTGTCTGTGTGTCTATCATGTGAAAAGGCTGTGTTTGAAGCGGTTTCTCTTTCTAATTTTCTGCTTAAATATATTTACCGACTCATCTCTCATTCGTTTCAAAAGAAAGAATGAGAAAGATCAGTCGTGAAATTTCTTTTTAATGTAATGCACAGTAAAGAGAAAGAGAAAAGATATTACTTAAAGCAGAAAAAGTGCTATCCACACGATAAAAATCACAAAGAACTATTGTTTCTCTGTATTTGATATATAAAGAAATGAACTCACTGTACACATCGTTAATTACATGAAAAGAAATACAGACATTTGTATAAAAAGCCTTACTCGTTGATGTTTTTCTTATCATCTGCTTTAATTTAAAGCGTAAACCCAGACATATTATTTTTCTGAGGTGAAGCTCGTTTGAAGTATACAAATTTTTCATTATTTTCAATTTTATGTTTCTTAATTTATTCGGAATTAGTTATACAATACACAATATACTTTTAACATAGCATAATAAGAGCGCTTTTCCAGGCTGGAAAACACCTGATCACGCGTTCTAATATTTTCCGCGTGCGGCGCTATGCAATCCGAGCGGGCGGCATTCAACAGGCTGATATTTATAGACTCGAGAGTTTCGTGCAAAGCTACACAACGTTTTAGGCGTCAAAAATCCAGTTCCTACGTTCATAAATATTCACGCGATGATCCATAAATTTTAATTCAATTTTGTGATTCAATTTAAAATGGAATTAGAGTAGTCGTCAATCCTGGAAATTCGAAGATATTTCCTCAAGTGCGGCATTTGAACATCGTGAACGGTCGATCGAGTCGCATAGCTGACGTTTGAACATCGCTAGCGCTACTTCTGGTCGACACGTTTCCGATCAAATAACGTATCATATCCGGACGTTCGATCAACGTGCTGGATGAAGAGGGAATCGAAAAGAAGAGGCATCTTCCACTTTTTGTTCGAGTATTAGTCATAAAATTTGATGATAAATTTCACTTGATCGAAAACGCATGGCCTCATCAGAGAAGATGAGAAGAGGTTGCAGAAGAGAATCAGTGTCTTCTATTCTTCATCCTTGAAAAATTTCTGTGAAAAATTCGAAATTATTCTCTTCTCGAAAATCGATATTGTATAGATTCTTTGGTGATCCTTTATTTATTACAATTATCGTTAATATTATTAAAAATGTGACACACACACAAATACCGTTCGATGTTTCTTTTCCAAAGCAGAGTCAATAAATTTTGATCAATTGGAAACGATCGATGCTTCGTGCGCAGCGTACCGAGATGAAGATGTTGCTGGCCGATGAGCGAAAATTCTTTTGGCATTACGCGGCGATATGTTTTGGAATTCAAGCCTCACAAGGCGGGAAATTAAAAAGATAGCATCATCGATCGGGCACACGGAATTCATTAGTGTTTGTCTCTATCATCTGGAAGAACTTGATCGCCAAATAAGTGAGAGAAGATAAAGAAAGTGAATAGGAAAATGATGTTTACCGCTGGTGCCCATGCAAAAAAGCGTAATGCTGGTAGTGGTTCTGCCCGGAAGTCTGCTGCGGATCGTAGGAGTCCGCAAACTCATGTGAGCGCGGAAGGGTACACTTACAGGTGAGCCATTCGGTAGGTAAAACTTGTAAAATGTTTTGTCGAGTCAAAGTGTCAATCTTCTTTAATTAATGAATTTAGTAAAAAATTATTTATAATTAATTAGTATTTCATTAATAATTATAAATGTAAAATTAAATGATGAAATGAGAAAGTATTAATTTTCTCTTTTAATTATCTCCTTCAATCAAATAATTAAAAATATTATCAACAAAAATAATTAGGATTTTCTATTAAACAAAGTAAATACAAAACATACCTGTTATACATAAACGTGAATTTCATCCATTGAAAGAAACTTTGACTTGAACAAAAACTAAAAAAAAAAAAAAAGATACAATGTATGGTGATTCCAGGACTAGAATTCCAATATTAAATCCAACGGATCTTCCACCAGCAAGCTCTATAGGGAAAACGTATGTATACAAAACCAGAGTTCCCCGAAGGGACATTGTAGTTGCATCTTCTCCACGTGAAATGAATAATATCGGTGGGGGAGCAATTACAAAAAGAAGAGGCGCAGTGAAACACAACAAAGTGCACGTGGTTCGAGGTCACAAATTAGTTGCAAAATTCTTCAGACAACCAACATTCTGCGCTTTTTGCAAGGATTTTCTTTGGTAAAGTCTCTAAAAAAAAAAAAAAAAAAATAAATAAAATAAACTATAAAAAATTAAATAGATAAAGATTTGTCTAAGAAACGAATAAAATGATGTAATAAAACAATAAATGTTTAAATCAAGAACATTTTTCATTTCGATAATATAGCAATCGAAGAATCTTGATTTATTATAAAAGATGGCTGCTTTGATGTATACGCGGTTTATCTAAAAATACTTTCGATTATATTTTTCGGGCACATTATTCAAATATCGGTTAACGATTTCCTTGATTATATTTTCCAATTAATGTAAAGTGTACTCTATGTCATAGGGGGTTTGGAAAGCAAGGATACCAGTGCCAAGGTAAATATTAAATCGCGAACTGCGATTTTTCTGTCTATACCACGTTGCATTTCTATTAATATTCTATCCTGCGTTTTAGCCTGCCAAACAGCGGTGCATAAGAAGTGCCATGATAAATTGTTAACCAAGTGCCCGGAAAGTGGCAGGCAATCTGAGAACACGATAGTAAGTATTTGCTTTATCAATTCTCCAATTTCTGTTCTTGTTCCGAATTTCAACGAATAAGCGTCAAATTTTTGTCTAAAATATATCACGATTGATAATATCAATTTATCCATTTCCTTTAACGAGAACTGATCATGTTTCTTGGTACAAGTTTGTACCAAGAATGTAGAACTCGAATAAACTATGTTTGCTTATTTATTCAATGATGTGTAATTCATCCAGATATTTGACTGTGGAAAACAAGATTGTTTCTAACATTATCCTCGTATGTTAAAATTTACGTTTATTTTTGAACTTCAAAATTTTATGTGTATATATTTACTTTATGATGCAAGAGTAGGTTTTACCAAATTGTGAATATTTTTGAAAACATTCGGCTCTTCCAGCAATTTAGGACATGAAATCCATTTTCACAAATGTATCTGCAAATTATTATACATATATTTTTATATATTTTTGTTTAAATCGCTCGATATTTATTTTTACAAAAAGTATTGTTACTCTATTGTATATACTCACTATGCTATTTGTCAGAAATAACGCAATACCTAGTCCCACGCAGAATCGGTCTAATTCTGTTAATACTTGTTCAATATTGTGCAGTACTTGAGGGAGCGTTTCAAGGTAGATGTGCCTCACAGATTTCGGCTTCATACATTTATGTCGCCGACGTTTTGTGATCATTGTGGTTCCATGTTATACGGCTTTTTTCGACAAGGTGTCAGATGCGACGGTATGTAAAAAATTCACTCTTGTATATCTCTCATTTTATTCTTGATGCACCTTGAATTTTAAATTTTTTAGCATAACGTTCATTTAAATTCGCGCTATTGATTATAATTTTTTCTAAAATTTTACTTTTTAATATTTTAATGTTCAAAGTTTAAAATTATTCGTTTGGTTTGAAATAGTATCCGTTCGCCATTCGTTGGCTATTTCTAAGATTCTCTGAACAAGCAACAATAGGCACCGAGAAAAGAAACATTTGGCGCGGAACTCAATGCTTGAATACAAAACAACGCGAAACCGTGACTCCGTTGACACATAAATGCGCGTTTTACACGGTTGACATGCATGCTTGCCACAAGCTTCAATAATTGCAAGTTTTCTGGTATTTCTCATAACGTTCTCCTAAACTTGTCGTACGTCGTATTATATCTTTAACAGCATGCCAGTAATAAAGTGTTTCTAATCAAGCTATACTTTGATATAGAAAATTCTTTTTCTATTTATATTGTATATCAGTTGTGAATGTTCTGAAACAAATAAATTCATGAAATTCATCAATTTTTAATACTCTTTTAAATAAGTTTTAATATTGATTGTGCACCATAGATAAATTCAAACGAGAGAGAATCTCGTTAAAGCATCGTTAAAACAATAATAAGTGACCACGTCTTTTACAATCGACAGATACAAACCGATCCAAACTCTGAGTCACGTACAAATGTTACAATTCGACAAATATTTGTAGGGAAGCAATGCTTGAGACGTTGCACGGGTTATTAGAGTCCAGCTAGTATATATAGTTAGATGCTAGGAAGCCTCATATACTAGACTTCTATTATTACACCGGGTCGCTCGCTTAGACTCAGTCGATGTTGGCTCCCTGAACCGTGAGAACGCTTCGTCGAACACCTGAGAACGCCGGCGATCCGTGCCGCGCTCAGTCGTCTTCGAGAGCGTCGAACCGCTCGTGTCTACGGAGGACGTGCCTCCGTTCGTGCTCCATCTTCGAAACTTCAGCTCTTTACAAGTCCGTACACGTGAATCCATTGGATAATACTTGCTACAATGCCTTACTACGGTGACGGTTTATCCCCCTATTACTATGGGGGACCTTTCTCCAATCACAGTTCATTGATGACTGGTGCTCCACGGTAAGCTTTCTCTCTCTCTCTCTCTCTCTCTCTCTCTCTCTCTCTTTCTCTTTCTCTCTTCACTACTTCCTTTTTCTGTTGTTTTTCTTAAGATATCGATAACAGATCATTTTTTTCCTTTCCAAAGATATTTTTTTCAAGTTTCATCTTGAAAAATATTTTACAAAATTCTATTTTCTTTTGGAATAATGCAATTTTTTTTTTTTTCTTGAATACGATACTTTTTTTTTTTAAACTATGTTGTATGCTCTTGAACATTTTGCTTACATTAGGTTCTTTTTTACAACATTTTTGTTTCTCGTAAATATTCTTGTTTTTTTACTTGTTGCTTCATTTTCTAATTTTTCGAATTTCGAATAAGTTCGTTTTTTTTTTTGTACAAATTATATATTTTTTAAAATACTAGTAAAATATCCTTTAGCAAGGATGTGCTTCAATTTCTTTTTTTCCTTTGTTTTCTTGCTCATCCAACTGATCCAACGAAAATAGCGTTCCAAGAAACGGTCCCTTTCTTCGCTTTCTTTCCTTGCTTTTCCTTCGCGGATCATTATTCTTGATCACAGACTGACGTTCATCGTCGCGGAGGCTTCTCTGGTGGATAGTTACGTGATTACGACGAGAAACAAAGAACTAACAGCAACCAAAATAACAAACGTATTTCCCAGTTTCTCTTGAAATTTAACGAAAGAGAGAGGAAAATAGCCAGGGAATCCGAAGAAATCTTGTTGTGATGATGCATACTATCTTCTGTAATTAGAATGGCTCTGCTAAAATCTTGTTCCGAATTTTGGCAAGCAAATCTTTATGACTTACGCGATTCATCAAATCTAAAACTCGTTAGTAATATGCTAACTGGTAATTAATTGATTGGTCTGCAAGTTGGAATAAATCAAAAGAATTAGAGAAGAACGGAATAATCGAGAATATAGATCTTTAAAAATAGCCAAGACGTCTGGACGTGTAATTTCTACGTGATAAAACTTCGTTACATTGCCAAAAAATCCTCTCAGTCAAATCCACAATTACTCATTCCCATTCTTTATAACGCTGAAAACATAATTATCGATTATTTAAAAACAATGGATGATGAAATTATTAAAACGATTTTATTTTACTCACTTAAAACACGTAATTAAAAAATATAAAATTTGTACGTTACCTCCAGCCTCCATTTTTTACAATTATTTTTATTAAGCGGAATGTGACGAAAATAATCTTAAAAATATAAACGATGATTTGGAAAATTGTATCAAGTATTATAACAAATTTTTCTTCACCACTATATCGGTCACTAAAGACACGTGACCACTTGTTTGTCATCGTGCAACCGATCAGATTCGCATATTCGATTCATGAATCGAAGTCAATCGTTCGTGGCCATGGCCGAGCCAAATTCAGAGACAATGTGTGTAACAAGTGTTCGCGATGCGCTTCCCTTCTCAATACAATACGTTGAAACAACGTGCGCCTGGCATTGAGAGGATGCAATCGGAAGTTTATCAGGTCGAGCTCGACGTAGTAGTAGTAGTTACATAAAAATTGTCTACTCCTCTTGAACCCCTTTACGTAATTCACACCGATTCCTCCTTTCCTACGATCAAAATTATTCTTATCAACTTTTGTACTTATTTTTATATACACACATAATTTCAAAATATATATGTACACATATATATTACTATTCATAGACTTACTATACATATTTATTATTATTCATAGATTTCAAAATTTTCTTGCACATTTTAAAAATAACGAAGTGTAAGTAATGCGCCATCAAAGAAGCTTCCGCACGCATGCTTGTAATCCGAATTTTCATAAAATTATTCGTGTAGACCGCTTCATTCGCCGCTCTCTCGATACTCGCCGCATCTGTCGACGATCACGGAGTCCCCGTTGTCCACTCTACGTCGCTACTCACCCGTGGCGATCCCCACGCGATCCAGACGCGTGATCGACACCGCGGATATAGACGTGTCGACGCCCAGAACCCTGTCGCAGGATGGTGGCAATCACCAAAGAAATCGTCTACGACGCGACAGGCCCACGATCAAGATCAGGTGTCAAGCGTTGAAGGATAATCCCGCTTTGCGGCAGCACAACGAGAAGCACGAGAAATCCGTGGGTGAATTGTTGGTGGAGAAGTTTTTGATCAAGGACAAGAAGTTGGAAGACGAGGAGAAGCAGCGTCTCCAGCAACATCTGTTCCATCAGATCAGTCTGGACAGGGGGGAGGGGAAGGAGAAGGAGGGGAAGAAAGAAGAGGAGGAGGAGGGGAAAGAGGAGGAGGAGGATCGTGACCTGCAACAGGTGAAAAATAAAATTACGAGAAGGTTTACAAGGAGACGATCTTCGGCGGATATTCAATTGGATGCTGAACAGATAGAGAGGAAAGTGGCTTACGCTCAGGTCCAGGCAAAGGTGTTGGACACGTTGGTGGCTGAAGAGCAAGCGGAGATTGAGAACGAGGTCCGTAGAGGGACGTTGATCAACAAGGGGAAGCGAAAACCTGTCCCGAGCTTCTTCAGGAACGTGGATGGTGATTCCGTGTCGCAGAGCGAGGAGGAGGCCACGGCACAAAAGATGAGAAAGACGTTGAAGAAGATGAAGAAGAGGAAGAAAACCATCGAGAAACCTTCGCCACCTGAAACGAACGAGAGTTCAAGGGTGTGCAATATCTCGAGCGACGTATCCGATTCCAGGACAAGTGAAAATGAGGGGAAAATTGATGAGGATTCGAGATGTTCCCAGAAGATGTTGGAGGCCGGTAACAGCATTGAGGATTTCTCCACAGCCGTCTGGGCGAACGGTGGAAGCGTGGAACAGTTCAGGGAGAGCGTGAGGATACCGATCCCTAAAAAGATAGAAAAGTTAGACAGGCACGATGTCCAAGAAGAGGAAGAGGAAGAAGAAGAAGAAGAAGAATATGAAACGGAAGTTGTGTTACCTGTGAAGAAGCCTTACGTGAAGGATACCTCGAGGAACAGCGTGTACTTCACGGTGAAGACACCTCCGGATTCGACGAAGAACGACCCCCTGAAGAAATTAGAAAGCACAAAGGCGGGGAAAGGGGATAAGATTAATAATCGGATCTTCTCCCTGGATGTGAAAACTGATACGAGCCTGAAATCAAAACCTGTTGAGGATAAAATGGTTGGGGAGCAAAAGAAAACGGTTGGAATTCCCGAGGGAACGAAATTCGAAGGATCGATGGAGGAAAAGATTGCGGGAAGGAAGGAGATTATCGATAAGTCGACGATAAGTCCGTCATCAAGGATCGAAGCGAAGAACGTGACGCCAAGTGTTGACCCGTTGGCGAGCGAGAGCAGCGCCAGCGAAGCGCTTCCATCGGTCGCGGACAGGCTGCCAAAAGCGTCTAAAATTAATACGGATGAAAATAATGCCGTAGAAGCGCCAAAGCGTGTGTTACGAGAAGCGCAGTACCTGGCAAAGCCGACGAAAGCCGAGCGTGGCGAGGACGTGGTGGTATCTAAGTTGTCGGAAAAGAAGGTGGACAAAGCCGTGACCTTGAACGCCACCCGCGCACCGGGCACCACTGCTTGTGGGACGGCGGCGAAGATAGGTCAACCCGCGGTTGACTATTCAGAGACCCTGGAAAAAGATAATACATCGTCAAACGATCGTTCTTCCGTGGATGACGCAAGCGGGCAACTCGTGACTAAAAAGATTATTCTAGAGGGTCCCAAAGGTGATACGCAAAAGAGGGAGGTGAAGATCGAGGAAGGATCTATCGGGAAGGATGAGGTGAAAGGAAGCTGGTCGGGTGATAGGAAAATGGTTAAACTGGAGAACGAGGGAATTCCGAGATCGCTCTTCAAAGTGGCGACGAAAAAGACTGAGATCGACGAAGAGGGGATTAATAAAGCGGCGTTGAAGGGCGTTAACTTGCAGTGCACGCCAAAGATTGAGGAAGGGAATAAAGAATCGAAGATTCCATGGAGGGACAAAGTTTCCAAGGTCAATAGCTATGGGGATAATAGTAAGGTTGCATCGGATAGAAGTATAAGCGTCGATTCTAAGCCCGTTTCGATCAAGCAGTCGACGATGGATCAAAAGTCCTTGAAACAATCCATTTCCGTGGATGAGAATTTGACGAGCAAAATAAATTTCGAGAAACCGATTCTTAATGGAGAAGTCCAAGGAAGCTTGTCCAAAAGTACGTCTTCGGAATCTATAGATTTCTGGAGCGAGATCAAGGGACCGGACAGCCCTAAAGCGGGAAAGTTGTCCAACAAGGGATTCAGTTTCATCGGTTCCAAGAGCTCGGAGCCAGGTCAAGGGGTTGAGGACCTCGGAGGCGGGCAACTGGACAAGAAAAAAGAGACCGATCCTAAAATAAGCGTCGCCACTCCGCCGACCGAGCTCAGTAATATCCACGTAATCGAGGAGGAACGGAAGACCGAGGAGAATTCGTTGAAATCCAAGACCGAACGGACAACCACATCCACCACTGAAACGCCTTCAACCACCACGGAGAGACCTGAATTGGATAAAGATGATTCGATTCCTAAGAAAGGGTTAAAGAAAAAGAAGAATCTGTCCATAGATATCAATCAAATCCAGATAGAAGCTTACTCTACGGTAAAGAAAGCTCCTCTGAAGAGGGAAGATTCCTCGGCATCGACCATTTCTTCCAAATCGGTTACCAGCACTCCGGATACCTCCGTTCCAGCTTCCGAAGTTTCTACCCCGATCGCAGAGATCTCTGTGCCTATAATAAATATCGAAAACGTGTCCACACCGGTCAACCTCGATTCTCAAATTTTGGACGAGGAAAATGAGCCCAAAACACCTACTAACGAATGGGCGGACATTGAACAATCGAAGATCTCCAAGTGGAATAATCAGAACGATCTGTCCAATCTTAACTGTGTTGAGAAAGAAGTCGTTCAGCTCGAACCTTCCAAGGATATCAGCTTGAATAGCAGCCCGGAAGGAAGTCCGGAATCCTCTAAGAAGAAAAAGGTGGTCAGAAAAAAGAAGTCTTCTACGATCAAGAAAAGTTCTACTAAAAAAGAAAGTAACAAAGATAGCAAAAAGAATACTGCTAGCAAGAAGAATTCCTCCAAGAGTCAAGAGACGTTGAAGCCTGTTGAAGCAAAGGCTTCCTGTAAAAATAGTCCTAAAAACGTGCCTTCTCAACGTCCCCTAGATCTCATCAGGATGTTTTATACAACTCCATCAGCATTATTAACCGCAACACCCAGAGATTTGTCTAAAGTTCGTCGAGCCAAGATTAAGAGAAGAAAGCATCATTCCAGGACACCATCTGTAAGCAGTGATAGTACCGGAAGTACCACTAGTACAGCGACCACGGAAAGCAGTGGATCCACGTGTACGGAGCTTGATGATGATCCAGAACACAAGAGAATGAATTCTACCAGGAGTAACGATTCTGGCTTCGATGGCTCACCAAGGATATCCAGTATTTATCCTTATTTTTGGATCGTTTGTTCTGTTCATGTACACAGATGGTTGCGTAATTCCAATCTTTTTTTTTTTTTTTTTTTTTTTGCTTTATCTGAGTTTGCTTTATCCGAGCTTTCTGTTTAGCCGAACAGCCAGGAAATCTGAAACAGATTCGCGAAGATTTACTACGTTTTCTACGAGTGTGGGTGGTGTGTTTATGTTGAGGAAAATATACTGATTTCAATATCTTTTTTTAACATTATCCTTTTTAATTTATTTTAAATAAACTCGAAAACTAAATCTATAATCTGGATATTGAAATCAGTCGTTTGAGAGTTTCATTTATTCGTGGTTAACAAATGTGCCTTTTTGTGCCTTTAACGTAACATTTATCTTGTTGTATGTATGTTATTTTCTGCATGAAATTTTAGAAAGATACAAAGTGTTGCATTTAGGCTGTCAGAATAGCAGAAAATAATCTGTTACGTAATCGTTCTACATCCAGACACATTCTCTGATTCAACCAGTACCACGTGCTTCTGTCGCAAACCTGAAGCCAGTTTCTTCGACGTTATATGCGTAAGATCATTGTCACGAAGTCAACGACACTTGTTCGTTGTTTTGTTTACAGGATGTATCTTACCATCATTGAAACGGATTTCAAGTATCCTCCCTTGTCTCGATATTTCGATAAATGCACATATATAATTAATTTTTTTACCTCAACTTTTGATACTGATCGCAATTAATTTATCATAATCGACTAATAATCTTATATCTTGATTTAAAAACGAATGTAAATAATTGTGCACGCCGTGACCTTATTTATAAGACGTAGCGTGGTTTCATAACAATATTCTAGGCTTCATAATACAGCCGCTCTTAGTTGATGCTGCAAACATAAGTTTCGAAATAAATTTAGATGGATGATGATGGGTTGATTGGGTATCAGTAGAGAAGGAACCGGGCAAGAGTGTTGTTGTTCTTAAGCTAGAAAAGTTCTTTTTCGTATATAACAAGGTGCATCATAAATCATCAGTTATAAAATCAAACGAATAAGATCCGAAACATTTAAAAATAGATTGCGACATGGCCTGTCACAAGAAATGCGAGAAACTGACTGGAAATCTTTGTGGATTGAATCAAAAGCTTGTGGCGGAAGCCTTGCAGTCCCTCAAGAGAGGTGAGTTATCTATCTCAATTTGGTCATTGAAAATCAAAGGAATAATTTTCAAGTTTCGATCTTTATTTAATATACCTTTTGAACGAAATTATTTTAGTATCTCCCAAGCAAAATCTTGCTTTTTTTTCGAATTTCATCTTGAACGTTGGCCCATAGAGTCAGACTTGGCTGGCCCAGGAAGTATATTCATCTATACACTTCGCTGTAATTCCACGTGGCTGTTATAAATCCATTTTCGCCCCAACTGGTAAATAATATGATGGATGATACCGTAATTTCACCAAAATTAAATCATCGTTAAATCAGATTCTGTTACTTATACCTGTTATAATCGTTCTACCTGTCCTCCGATCGATCACTCGTGTCACGTTCCTCAAAATTTTGCACACGTCATAGGACGGTCAGCTCTATTTTCGAGAAATGCCAATCGGCCAACATCTAATATATTCACGTGCCAGGATCGTACCAACAATTAATGCGCTTATTAATTGAAATTTGAGCGGAGAATCAGACATTTCTTGGCTTCGGTGTAAACCTTAGAAGGAAATTCAATGTACTCATATTCCCTTTTTACAAACAAAAAAATCTTATAATCTTTTTGCTCATTAATGAATTGTTATTCAATTGTAGTTCTTTATTAATTATTAGCAAATAGGTTTGCAATATTATAAAAGAGAATTTTGCACGACCTGAAACACTGAAGATGCAATTGCAAGATCAATTTATTATATTATTTATATTTATTGTGAAAATAAAAATTATTAATGATAATAATTTTTTAAACAATTTTTGTTAATTGTTTGTAAAAGACGACAGATCGATTGATATGGTATTTTTACTTTTGATCTCACAGCACCTTCACAGTCGTCGGACAACCAGAGGAATTCAGACTCTTCAGATCATTTCCCCAGTGGAAGGATCACCCCACCGGCCACAAACCTGCCTAGGTTCAAAAAATACAACGTGACAGACTTTAACTTTTTAAAAGTGAGTCCGCTGCGCAAGATTGTCGATCATTGTGAACGATATTTAGCCGCGATGACTATGTTCACCGTGACACGTGCAACTTTCGAATGTATGCCAAGATCTCGGTTGGAAATTTCGCTGATGAAATACTCAAATTATTATTCGCTATATAAGATGATGAAAAGCATGCATCGAATAATCTTTCCTCTATCGGCAAACATCTTTATATAAATTTATTTGAAATAACAAGAAATGTTTATATTTCATATAATACTTCCGTAATTATGTGGAAAATATATTTCATGGAAAACAAAAAATATATTTATCCTTGGATTATTGAAATATCGAAATAGTTTAAGCAAATAATAATTTTAAGAGTTTAAATTTCATTTTTAAAATTTAATGATTTAATTTTGGATACGAGATTCTTCTCTATTTTTTATTATTATTTTTATTATATTATATTTTTTATTATTTATTTTTTATATAATTCTCGAAAATTCTCGAAAATTTACGAACTGTTTTGGCTCGTTAGAATGAAAATTAATCCGAGTAAATATATATGCCTGTATCGCGTGTAAATTAAACACGTGTCACGAGACATTCTCGCGAAATAATCCAGGTGAGAAGGTGTGAACGTTCGATTTTCAAGTTTTTTTTTTCAAGATCGATCCAATGCGATCACACTGCCAAAAAACGTAGCATGGTAGCAGTCTGGTAAAAAGCAGCTCGTTGTTCTACGTTGTTGAAATTCATACGTAAGATAGATCTTACTTCTTGGAACATCTAAATTAAAAGATAAGAGAGTTTTGAAATCTAAATCATCATTTGCTAATAAACAAATTTATTAAGAAAAATATTTGAAACAAATTTGATTTTACGGTGAACAACACGCAAATAGACTCACTCGAATTAGCAGCACGTAACGCATTATTTTTAACGTGTCAGGAGTTCTCTCACGTGCGTACTCTCGCTTTAGACGCGTGAACTTTCCACCGTGTGCCATTTTTACTCTATCAGACCTGAATTTCCATCTGGTAACAGAACCTTGTCTCACTTTTGTGGACCACCGTTGCTCTAAAATAATTACTCCTGATAGATTTTTAGTTCTTCTCATATCTATTCCAATAATCTTTTTAATCCTAACCTATTTCTTTAATCCTAATTAAAAGGTTATGCTTGGTTATCTTTAACAGTATGAACGAATATAAAATGAATAATGAATAAAAATTAATAACGTGAACTGAATTTTCAGAAAAAATAAGAAACATTAATATTCGTTACTTTTCTCCAGGTCCTAGGGAAAGGTAGTTTTGGAAAGGTGTTGTTAGCCGAACTGCGAGGTACCGAGTGTGTTTACGCGGTGAAATGTTTGAAGAAAGATGTGGTCCTCGAAGACGACGACGTGGAATGTACCTTGATCGAAAGAAAAGTCCTGACACTTGCCACGAGGCATCCGTATCTCTGTCACCTGTTCTGTACCTTCCAGACAGATTCTCACTTGTTCTTCGTGATGGAGTACCTGAATGGCGGCGACTTGATGTTCCATATTCAAAAATCGGGTCGTTTCCCTGAACCAAGGGCCCGATTTTACGCAGCAGAAATCTGGTCTGGTTTGAATTTCTTGCACAAGAAAGGAATAGTGTACAGAGATTTGAAATTGGACAACGTATTACTAGATTACGAAGGGCATATCAGAATAGCCGATTTTGGCATGTGCAAGCTACAAATTTTCCTCGACAGAACCGCCGATACTTTCTGCGGCACGCCTGATTACATGGCTCCCGAGGTAACGAATACAAAATGTAACTAAAAATACCACTTCTTTGTGCGATAGAAACATCATTCTCTTCTGAAATGAATAATTAAATCTGAATTAACATCAACGTGCGTGCAGCGTATCCGTAAACCGATGTTTAATTTCCAAAATTAAAATACTAAATTTGACCTCGCAATAAGATTGATTCCTTTCGGTTAACCGACCAACTGTTTCCGCATTGCAGATCATAAAGGGACTGAAATACAATCAAGCGGTCGATTGGTGGTCGTACGGCGTGCTTCTGTACGAGATGCTCACGGGACAGTCGCCATTCTCCGGTTGCGACGAGGACGAGCTATTTTGGAGTATATGTAATGAAAGACCGTTCATACCCCGTTACCTGAGCCAAGATTCAACTGATATATTAATCGCCCTTTTGGAAAAGGATTCTGGGAAAAGGCTTCCTGGCCACGAAATCGCTTTGCACTCCTTCTTCCAAGTAATTAATTATCGTTATTATTATTGTATGGAATAAAAATTTATTCCATAATTGAATGAATCTAAAATCGAGACAATTCCTTGTAATTAATATTTTTATCATAATTTTAATCCAATTTGATATCTCTTTTAGACATTACCGTGGGATAGATTAGAAAGGAGGCAATTGGAACCACCTTTCAAACCAGCTTTGGACCATACTTTAGATACCAAGTATTTCGACACAGCGTTCACAGCTGAGAGACCGCGACTGTCTCCTGTACCTGAGCAAATCCTTGCTTCCATGGATCAAGGCGTTTTCCGAGGATTTTCTTATACAAATCCAAATGCAACAGACTGAAAGAAAGAAAAAAAAAAAACTATCAAAGACATGCACGATACGATTTCAAAGCTTCGTACGTTGACAATATTCAACGTGATATTTTTATCTTGATGTTGATAATGTTGAAAATCGTCTGAAAATTGATTCGAACGGATTAATAGATGATTATTTTGCATCTATTTTTATAAAACGAAAGAAACAATAATTACTTTGGAATCTACCAAGACAGACAAATGATCGAGAAGTCAATGAAGTCATTGATGGATAATGACATACTTCACAAGAGAAGTAATAAGCGATTTTACCAAAAAGTCAATGTTCCTAAAACGCTTCTGGTGATAGATAATAGATTTTTATAACGTAGTGAATATATTATTGATTAGAATACTTAGATTGACCATCCGTGGAAATTCAACGAGATTACGATGTTTATTTTTACGAAATCAGATTTAAAGAGATCACAGAGATTCAACTCTGGTTCTTGTTTCCCCTCGTTTCTTTCTTTTTTAAGCGTTCTTTTTCTAGAAAAAAAAAAAAAAAAACATCGTAATGAAATAAAAGTTTTACTAATATTAATCGCAATAATGTTTCAAATAAAAAAGATAGACAACATATTTTTAAATCATAAATTATAGTGTAACGAGTAGAAGAATGTTTTAGAAGGAAAGTATCACAATCAGAATACCGGAAGACGCTCACAGACATCTAATTGCACCGCGTTCCCGCGTTTATTCTAAACCTCTAGCGTTACACCGCGGTCAGGTTATTAATACTCCGAGTGGCTCATTACTTTGGCTACGATAAATACTGTCTCGAGTGTCTTCCACCCACAGACGGCTGTTCTCGCTCTTCCTACCTTTCTCTTTCTCTTTTCTTTTCTTTTTTTCTTTTTTTTTTCCTAAAAAAGACCATATTTTCCTTTCGTCTATACCTCGTTTTCTTTTTCCTTCGTTTTCTTTCATGAATCCTACACCTTTCATCTTCTTTTCCCTCTCTTCTATTTTTCGTTGACTCATTTTTTTTTTCTCTCTCTATTTCTATCTTATCCACCATCCACATCTCTCTTTCGTTTCTCCATACGTTTTCTCGTGCTCCTTCTTGCTCCTTCAGATCAGTACACTTGGCTCCGCGCTGACTATACTCTAACTTTAGCACGTCGTGGAATTGGCAAAGCAGCACGGTTCGGCAACCAAGTCGAAATACGTTGAAGAATACTCCAGGACATTTTACAAGGACTCTCTGAAATATATTTTTCGTTTTCATTCATCCTGAGATAATTCAATTCAACAAGGATAAATTAACGAAATATCATCAGATTATACTATACTGTTCAATTTATATTTTGGTAATAATAAAAAAAAAAAAAAAAACAATAGAGATTTCTCTTAAAATTGCATAGAAGTTAATTTGAAAAGAAATGGTGAAAAAACAATAGTTAATAGAGCCATTAATCGACTAATTGTTTCAATTGAATCATTACGACACGGATGGCGGATTAAGAGGTCATACCTAAATTAATCACACTCGACACATCGTAGTCATTGCTATCTTCAATTGAAATCTAAAATAAACTTGTTTCTTATTTTAAAATTTTAAAAGCAAAAAAAAAAAAAGATTTTTATAAGATCTCGAAAATATTTGATTATTAATAATCAAATTATTAATATGTGGTTATTTTGCGGCGAATGAATTGAAAGATAGTTAAAGAAGTATTCAATTTGCTTTGAGGCAAAGATCATAGAGCGAAGAATGATGAAAGGTGCACGCACGAGTTCCGCGAAACGAAGATCGAATCGAGTAAGGGTGGAAGGGGGAAGGGGACGAATCGAGAGACTAAGCGGCTTGAGAAATTGAAACGAGAAAAGATTTAGAGAGGAAAGAGACGTCGTAGGAAGAACTCGCAAAAACCGACCGTCAAAGAGGATCGGTCAATGGTCCCTGAATCCGTACCTTTTTACTCCGCGCTTTTTAACCAACTATTATAAACAGATTGTTTCGAAAGCAATGTTATAAACATTTTTTTTTTTTTTTACTATACTCCAATAGAATTTTCAAGAGTTCATAACTGTCCGTAGTTTCGTTTATTTAACGAATATTGTTAACTGATCAACTTAGAGAAGATTTCTAATATCTTGATAAATGTCTCACGGTTTAAAAAATACTCGAAATTACATTTTTTTTGTATAAAGCCAATATTAAAGGAAACTGTGTCCTTTATTTTATTTCTTAAATCCTAAAAATTCCAATTCAATATTCCAATAAATATAAATATATAAATTGCCCAAAATGTAATCGAGACTCTGGTCTTCCTCGATCATCGAAATCATGGATCGTGCTGCGTAAAATAATTCTATCTATTCAATTACTTCATCCGATGTCGCGGATATCGGCGACTAAAAATAAAAGGGGATCCCGCCCGTGAAATCGGGAAGGGGTAAACGGCAGAAGGCAGAAGGGAGATAAAGCCAGGAAACTAAGAGGATACAACAAGTTTATGACGTTCGAGGGAGCACAGACGCTCGAAATCGAAGCTTTTAACGAGAAGTGCAGACTTATTTGACGGTGCAGCGACTGCGGGGCGCCGCGCACACACTCTTTCCCTCTCTCTTTCCCTCTCGCTCCTATAAATAGATCCGACACTACCGCGATTGCGGCCCTACATCGTGCGGCTATTTTCGACAAACATCGCCACTCGTTACAGTTCTCTGTACGCTCGCTTCACGACGAGTTTCCATCCTCGGCGGCTCCTCGAACCCGCGAACAAAGACACACAGATGCGCTGTTTACGCCGCGAGCAATAAGAATCGTCCGGTTCCTCGGCGACCTGCTGCTGCTCCACCGGCTCATCTCCACTTTTCCGAAGACATTATCATCATTCCTAAAATGAATATTTATTAGAATTTAGTGGGTGTGTGATCTACAGTTGAGAACACGGTGAGAATAAGTGTGATGATCTTAGTGTGATGATATCCGAAAAGATTGAGGGTATCGGAAATATTCGAGTGCAGCGATCGATTTGACGCTTAGAGATCAAAAATTTTTAAATCTAAACGGATAAACTAAATGATTCGTGCATGCCAAATTAGAATAAGAAATATTTCCAAGGGAATGGTTGAAAAAGACATTGATCAGAATTTTTTTCATCGCTTGTTCAGCAATGGTAACGATTACTCGATACGGAAACAGCAACAGTGCTAGGTAGAATATTCTACGGATAAGATAGTCGAGGATGTTCAGCTCGTTGAGACTGACCAGTATGCGCTCGCACAAAAATCGTGCTAGGCCAGGAAGCGTGGCCACGTCCGCCAGTTCAGATTCAGCTCGACCAGACGAAATCTCACCCCAGTCTTATTATCCGTACAGTTTTTTGCTATTAGATGATCAAGATGCTCCTGTATCCACTCCTTCCAGCGTATCCTCCAAAGTTGCCCAAGTAAGGGTGGAACGTGAAGGGGGAAGTCTCGGAGTTACCCTCAGAGGTGGAGTTTCCAGAGCTTTAGTGGTTACTGGAGTGAAGTCCGATGGGCCAGCGGCTAAAGAAGGAAGAGTCAGGCCTGGAGATAGATTGTTAGCTGTAGATGACACTGAATTGAGGGGTCTGACCTTAGCAGAAGCTCAAAGGGCGCTTAGGAGGAGCTCTGATGCTCCTGTAGCTTCTTTGACTATTGAATACGATGTTGCTAATATGGAAGAAGCGAGGGCAGCTACTTCCGGTCCCTTGTTGGTGCAATTAGAACGTGGACTCTCGGGTAATTTAATTTATTCAACTTTTTCCCCTCAATCTAAATAATATATATATGTTAATTTAATAAATTTATTTGATTGATAATATATGGACAAATTAATCATTTGCTCTTAAGTAATTGCATAAAGCAGATTAAATTTTATTATTTTTACTATAATTGTATATGTAGGAGAATTAGGCCTGACGGTGAGAGAAACGCCAAACGGAGTGTACATTGAAAGTTTAAGACCAGCAAGTACTGCAGATCGATGTGGAGCTTTGCAACCTGGCGATAAACTGTTGGCAGTGGACGAAACTCCTGTCCAGGATGCTGTGACGGCTGCCAAATTACTCAGAAATAATTATGATTCCCGCATAGCTAGATTGCAGATCTTACCTAGACCTCCCAGTGCCTCGCAGAGAACCGTAAAAAGAAGAGCGCAACCGCAGGCGCAGCAGACTTCTAATCAGACTTTGCAGACTACAGAAAGCCTAACTGTAGTCCTCAGACCTGATCATAAGGGATTTGGTTTAGCTTTAAAGCTCACCGACGACCGTTTAAATTATATTGTTAGTCTATTAGAAGCTGGAGGTCCGGCAGAACGCAGTGGAGTACTCCTTCCTGGAGACAAAGTGCTTGCAATTAATCGTAAAATGCTTCGAGATCTTCAACCAGCTGAGGTTACTGGTATCTTGGAAACTTCTCAAGTAGTACGTGTATCAATATAAATTATATAATCCTTTATTCCATTATTTTTACCTTTTTAAAATTCTTAGTAATTTTATATCCAAATTATCAAAACTATTTATAAAAACTATTTTTAGATTAATATTTTAATTCTTAATCTCAGTTTCAATCTCAGAATCATTTGTAAGTTAAAAATTTCTTTTTATCTGAAAGATGGAATTGGTGATAGAATACAAAGTTGGTGGACCAGTTGTACCTAGTTCAGGAGTATTCACAGTGCGAGTGGCAAGACCTGTAGGGGGGCAGCCTGATGTAGGTCTCACAGTGAATGAAGATTTGATCATTAGTGAGGTTCGCAAGGGATCTTTAGCTTACAGAACTGGCAGCTTAGCACCAGGAGATAGATTACTAGCAATAGATGGGCAAAAACTAGATCCTGGTGATCTCCGACAAGCCGCACAATTGTTACATCGACCAGGAAGCTCCGTTATCTCTCTGACTGTGAGAAAACCGAATCCTATTTCAGAAACAAGGTAATTTTATGATCTAGAAATATAGATCAATTTTCTATTAATTCTTTTTTTAATTTATTTTTTATTAATTTTTATATCTTTTTTTAAAAATCTAAAAGATGAAATGATAGGAGGAATTAATGAAAACATACTGAATTTTATAGAGAGTACTGCAAGGACTCGATCATAGGTAGCGACTCAGTGCAACAATATTCTCCAGGAATTCTTCGACCGGCTAGAGAGAGTCTACCAAGCGTAGACAGTGCAGTGGATTCTTGGGGAGAACTGGGAGAGAATAATGGAACAGGCCCGGAGATTCTAAGGCTTTGGGATACGGCTTCTGTGGATAGTGGACAATTGGAACTATCTATGCCTCCTTATCCTGGGTAAAATATAATAGATAAATAATGAATAAATAAAATATTATAGATAGAAACAGTTAAACAGATAAAATTTATAAAATTTTCTTTAGAATATTTTAGAATATAATTTTTGATTTAAATTTCTAAAAATAATCATATTTTTTTTTTTTTTTAATTTTTAGACCACAAGAATGCAATAATCCAGATAGACCACAACAAATAGTCCATGTCTCTTTGCATAAAGATCCAGTATATGAGGATTTTGGCTTTTCAGTATCTGATGGTCTATATGAACGTGGAGTTTATATAAATCGTCTTCGACCTGGAGGACCGTGTGACGGTGTTTTAAAACCTTATGACAGAATTCTTCGAGTAAACGAGGCTAGCACGGAAGATTGTGACTGTTGTTTGGCTGTTCCATTGATTGCTGCGGCTGGTCCACGTTTAGATCTCACCATAGCACGATCAGTATCTCCTCCTAATATTATAAAAACTCTGTAAAGGAGAGCAAATCAAAGTGTAATGTGGAAAATGGTGGTGAATATATCTGGTATATTTTTGTACACACCTGTATTTTATTTATAAAAATAAATGTATAGATTGCTTTTAGCTAGAACATGTTCTCCTGCATACAACTCACGCATACCATCAAAACATATCATACCAAAACATACGCCTCTAGAACATCATGTATTTAATCCTCTATGAATTATTTTGAAAATTTGTAGAGGAAGATATAATTGCTGGAACTAATATAACAAGGCACTCGATTCTTGATTCTAATAGTTGTGATTAATGGATTTCAATTAAATTAATTTCCAAAAAACTATTTCATGCTTTTATGATATCTAGAACCTCACTGTATTCGTTCCATCAACTATATTCTTATAATTCATAAATTAATATAAATATTATATAAAAAAAAAAATTATTTTAAATAATGTATATAGAAATTTTCCCAGAATATTATTAAGAGGAATTTTCATAAAGGATTAAAATATTGTAACAATCTAACAAATTGATGAAATTGAGTCTATTACCTATATATCATATCACCTGAGCTAATAGCTGGAGGAAAGTATTTAATTTGAAACCTAATCAATATTATATGAACGCCGTTCGATATCGATCGAGTACGATTGAAACCGATATCTATCTATTCATTATTGTTTTCACGACGCGGGAATGTCATCAATCTTAAAGGCTAATTGACCCAGCAATTAGCTATAAACATCAATTTTGCAAATTATATATATCCCACCTTGCCAGCAAGTTTATTTTCCCGTCAAAAGCAAGATAACGTAAACATAGAAATGTTTTTAAAATAATCTCGAAAACGAATAAAAAGAAAAACAACCAAATTTGAGTACTAGGCAAATTATACCTTTGTGCAGAATAATACTAATAAAAAATATACACATATATGTATAAATACTTTTGCCATCATATGAGTTTTGATCTGTGAATATTGTTTTAACTAGTATTATAGGATCTAACTATAAGCTTTCCCATTATAAATTCTTCATATAAATAGTCAAATCCTTATGGCTAAAAAATATCATTCACTGGCAGAAAAAACTCATATGAACTTGTCAAACATAAAATGAATCTAACAATTCAGACTAGACTGCAAGCATCTGTTGTTTTTTTCCAGTCCATCCATTTACCATGAAGGAATTATTACTGTTACCATTACGGTTTTTATCATGATATTTGGGAAGCGCTGTCTGACTTTCTTTTTCTATTCTTTGATCGTATTTGGCTTTATTATAGCACAACACACCAAGAATAGCTAATGTCATTCCAAATATATTCAACCACGTCACTGGATTTCCAAGAACAAACAAAGTAACTGCGATTACAAAGATTCGTTTGCTTGCACTCGCAACTGCATAAGTTAAAGGGGTAACAATAGATAATACAGAAAAAGCAATAATATTTTGGAACCAGTTCAGCACACCATCCAAGAATAACAGGCCTATTATGTAATAACTTATGTCTGCTGATTCACTAGTAACTGGATCATATATCAATCTCCTCAAATCATATAATAACCATATAGGGGAGAATAATATCAATGCCAAGCGGCCTAAAATAAGCAAAAGTCTTAAATGATGTATTCCTGTATCATGTAGCACCTGAAAAATTAATATATTATTTATATTATATGTAAATCTATCAATATAAGATAAAATTATATCAAGATAAATACCTTTTTAGAATAAATATTTTGCAAAGAGAATGCCATAGTAGATGCTAAGGCACTCAATAAACCAATCATATTGAAGCTGAGTTCTGTGAGTGTAGCAACAGCTACACCTATCACAATTGGGACTAAGCTAAGATATACTTTCCAAGTCTGCTTTTCCTTCAATATGATTCTTGAGAGAAATACCGTGAAGAAGGGCATTGTAGCCTTCACTGGGACAGAGCCAAACTTCAGTTAATACATGTGATTTATAAAACCAAAAATAAATAATATATTTATAAACTGTTTCTAAAATACATGCATTTGAAAATTTGTTATGCAATACTTAAAGGAAATCTATATAATTATTTCTATAAAATAGATTTAGATAAAATATATTTTTTTATTTTTCTCATTAATAGATTATTTATCAATAAAACTCAAAAATATGATTATCAAATATAAAAAATATTGAATTTCTTATCAGTGAATAAACAAATAAATAAAATCAGCTAATTATCGTTATTCATTATCATAACGTAAGCATTGACATAAAAGTATGCATTAAAATTATAGCATTAATTCTTACATTCTTAGAAATGAAGAACGTTTGTATTATTTTTAAACATATAGCATGCATACACGTGACTGTCAAAATAATATCTCATACCAGTATGAGCGTATGAAACGGGCACTTTCCAAATGCTGACGTGGCTGAACACATTTGCCAAAAATTTTCCTAGAGCGAGTGGTACGATCAACCGGAGATAATATCCCCAGGGAATATCGTTTGAATATTTTCTTACACCCCATAGATTAAAGAATGGGCCTGAATAAACCGTGATCGAGGTTAACTGAACCATAGTCACTGTCATCGGATAGGGAAATTCCGATAACAGCATTTTGCCCACTACATTACTGCTGCTTGAAATCCCATACCAGAGGAGGCACAGGAACAATATGGTAATCACTTCGCGGCTGTTCCGGCGATCGTCCATGATTAGGCGAACAACCTGTATTCTGTTTCTGTATTCTCACTCCATACGTTTATGCAACCAGTTCTCACAATACTCCCAACTAATCGGTATTCGTGGCCACTGCCACGAGTGGAATTTGAGCACAGCTGGCATTTCTCTCTCCCTCCTAACAAATTTTCCCTCTCTCCTTGCGCAACACTAATAGAACACGTGGCGCACGCTTTAAAGTGAGATTAACAACGATCTATCGAATCGCTAACTTGATGGAATATTTACTAATTTGATTTCTGTCAAAAGATACTTGAAACTTTTTCGCTTCACATTAATTAAATTTTCATAAGTAGAAAGTCAATTAAACAAAAATTGATCGAAGAATGTTTTATAATATATAATTTAATAATATTGTTTCTGATTGAATTTAATATTAATACATACTTAAGAAGAGAATACAATCATTTCTTAATAGAAATTTTTCAAAAGCATGTATATTCATATATATTTATTTCAATTATGAAATGCACAGTAATTTCAACATAAACAAACAAATTTGTTATCAGTAATACCAACAATTATCATACTAATTTCTATATTTTATTCAATAAGTTATCAAATATGAACAATGTTTTACGAATAAAATCTAAAAAAAAAATATTTTAATTCTAAATATGAAATAATATAGTTTTAATAATATAGTTTTAATAATAATATTATAATTAGTATTTTTCCCACTATAAATTATTATTCTAATAAAAATTAATATATTGTTGAAAATTAGAATAAAAGATACAAAATAATAATTATTTTGAAGTTTTAATTTTACAATTTTGAAATTTCTATTAAATAATTGTATTATATACATATACACAAAAAAAAAGAATAAAATAATTATTATAAATATTGAATATTGAAGTTATATTTAAGTAAATATTGCATTAATTATAATTAATTTATTATATTTATATATAATTTACTATATTTTTGTTTATGTAACTTGCAATAATAATATATATTATTACAAGCAATCATTTTATAAAATTATGAAAAACTACAGATATCAAATCAATAACTAGTAACTTAATTGCGAGGAATATATCAAGGAAAATCTATTGTCGAATACTCATCACGACTTATACCTAATTATGGTAAGACTGGTTCAATATAAAATATTTATTCGAATTATGTTATGCAAATATATTATAAATATTTATATTTTTTATTATTAATTTATTATAAGAAATTTAAAATTTTTCAATTATTAATAAAAGAATGAGCCGTATATTATTGATTATGAAAATTACTAGAAACATGTTTCATTAATAAAAGAATAAAAATATTATCAATATTTATTATAAAAATTATTAGAAATTTATATTTTATTGCAGTTAATTCAATATTATAATTAATAAATTTTATTTTTAACAATTTAATAAAATTTAAAATTTATCATGAAATATAAATTAAAAAGAAACTATCTTTGACTAAATATTTAATATATATTTATTATTAAATAGTTTTAAAAACACAAAATAGATGGCAATGGATTTCGATATAGGATGTCCCGTTTTATATAAAGCGGTTGATTCTAATAATATATCGCCGCATTTCAATTTAAATTTTTGAATAAAAGTTAATTGTGCGGTAAAAAATAATTTTTATCATATAAATAATGTTGTATTGTAAAAAATAAGTATTCAATTATTATATAGGTTAAGTGCAACATATTTCAAAACGATTATATATTTTAAAATTTTTTTTTATTTATTATATGCGGAATTTCATAAGTCTTTGAAATTCTGCCTGTGAGTTGAATATAAATGGATTCTCTACATCCACCACCTTTAAAAAAATATCGTAGAACAACAGATATTAATATTCCCATTTTAGAATGCAAACGGGAATTTAATTTACCTCACAAATTTCCAAGCATGATTAATTCATCTAAATGTAATTTTATACCAAAAGATTGCAAACAAATTACTATTACTAATACAGAGGTACATAATAGTTTGAATGGATTAAATACCAAAAAAACATTAGCTACAAGTGGTATAAAGAAATTGAGAGTAAAAACAAGAGATGGAAAAGATTTAGGAGAAGTTAAAGTACAATTTTTGCCTCAAAAAAACATATTAAATACTCAAAAAATTATTTATAATCAACAGATTAAAAATTATAAAAAAAATAATGCTGTTAATTTTTCTGTAGTTTCAAAAGATAATATTAGTGGATTATTGAAGTCATTGGGATCTCTATCATATGATAGAGATTTACAGAAATTTCCTACAGAAGCACAACATTGTGCTGTAGAACCACAATTCATTGTAAAAACTATAAGTCCTAGAGAATTATCAATAGCTATTAATAAGAAATCAGCTGATATTCAAAATAAAAATAAGAGTATATCTAAGAAACAATATATTTTAGCCAAAGTAAATGAAATAAATGAAA